TTTTCTGACCGATGAGCTTTGTAAAAATCGACACGTTTCAGAAAGGCGGGGCATAGAGGAGAAACAATGTACAGTATGTGGAAAATAATGTGTTTTTGAACCTTAAACCGCATAAACACATTTCATTACACCAAATACACAAAATAATGTTCTTTTTAGCAACATCATATGACCCCTTTAAATAAAAACAGAGAATATGAGCTCTTATCATTCGCTGTGTCATTTATTTTTTTAACACCATATATGATATTTTCTCACACACATACATCTGCTTATCTCTCAGCATGAGAAAACGTCTGTTTTCCGTCTTTTAGTTTTAAAACAGACCGATTCGCGGCACAGCGCGAGTTTGCAAGCGTCATTACAGTGTAAACTGATGGACATACAGAATCATACCTGAAACAGAAAACTAATAAATATATTCCCTCCTCACTTCGGAAACTGTAGGCTTCCGCACAGACGCGCACGCACATCAACACATCGCAGCATGAAAAGCGTTTATTAGGGGGAAGGGCGGGGTCACAAAATTAAAGATGAAAGATGCAACATAACGCCAGCAGGGGTGACTCATACTTCATTAAATAAATAACAAACAATGCCGAAATACATAATAAATTAAACAGTTGTGATGCTATATTAAAGAATAAACAACAATCTTTTTTGTTTGTTTTTATTTTGCTTTTATTTGGTTCATTTTAGGTCAGGTAGAAAGTAACAATAATGTAAATATAGAATCAGAATCAGAAAGAGCTTTATTGCCAAGTGTGCTTACACACACAAGGAATTTGTCTTGGTGACAGAAGCTTCCAGTACACAGACAGGCTGACAAGTGACAAGACACAGATAACAAAATAAAAATAAGTGAGTAAAAATAAATAAAAACAATATACAATTGACAAAAAGACAGTATATTGTACATATAGTATAAATAATCTAGATACATACACATATCTACATATACAACCATACATTAATACAGATGAAAACACCAGGCAAGCAGTTATACTTTCAAATAAATAAACAAATAAATAATAAAATAAAATAGGGAGAAGGGAAAAAAGACAGAGAAATAAATTAAAAAATTATATTATAAAAAATAATTTACAAAAAATGTAAAATAAAATTAAGATGCAGTGGTCTCCTTAAAATATTCCATAAAAGTGCTCCAGACTTTCAGAAAACGTTTTGGCTTTTGTTTTATTGCAAACCAAATCTTTTCCATCTTGAGAGCGTATAAAAAGTCAAAACGCATTGGCGATAAGAAGGGGGAGCTGCTGACTTCCACTTCTTAAGAATAAGTCGCCTAGCCAGTAGAGTTGCAATGGCTACACTATATCAGTCTGTAATGTGTTTAATTTAGCAGATTCTGGCAAAATACCAAACAATGCTGTTAAGGGGTTGGGGTCTATTGGTAAAGAAAAAATAACATGAAAGCACCTAAAGACTTTCCCCCAAAACGCGTAGCTGATTCAGTTGTGCAGCGAAGGCAGGTTGGGTCGAGATCAGGGAATATTTTGTTTAATTTATCTAAAATGTATTATTTATTACATTTATTAAAAGATAAATGGACTCTGTGCACTGCCTTGAATTGAATGAGAGTGTGCCTTTATAGATGATGAGTGTATTCGGGCAAGAATTAGATCCCAGATGATTTCCTCAAGCATCAAATTCAATTCCTCCTCCCAGTGCACCTTCAAAGTGTTGGGAAAGTTAGAAAACTGCTTATACGAATAAAGTTCCGTATCTGAAAATATCTCAATAAATGGGAGCTGGGTAAGTCAATTTTTTCTCGAAGTTGTGTAAAGGATGCAAAATTGTTATCCATATAATGTATAGTTGACCAACTGTAGCTAAGCTGTGTTCACTCCAGATGTTAAAAGCCCCATCCATCAAAGAATAAACTACAATCTTTAGTAAATAAAATTAAATGATTAAATGTTAGCAGCTTGTAAAGTCATTTGTGCTATTTGAGTAAGTGGTAGTTAGAAGCTGCATCAGCCTGTTAACCCTAAAATAGGTGGACTTTTGATCAGATATTACTGGAACTGTCTACCTGTGGTTAGGTATACAAACACACAAGTGTGTGCACACAAATAGGCTACACAATGTAAATTATAATAAAAAATAATTTATTGACAAAATAAGTGTTGGATATTAACAAAATCCCTTTTACCTATATCTGACTCACATGCACTCTCGTAAGTAAACAATGCATGTTTAGCTGGAAACTCAAACGGTGCAGAACGAGTTCTGCTAGATACACTTGCTGAGTGTGAGAATTTTGCTCAAACCGGAATTTTAGAAATAGTGCTTTCTAAATTTCTGCAGCAAGTAGGCCTAATGTGAGTGTTATTGTGAGTAAACCACTTCAGACCTGTAGGCAGCAAGTTAAAAAATATATTTTAAATAATAAATTAAGTTTGATGAAAGCTTGGTGTAGAAAACATGCTAAAAGCAATTGTAAGTAACTGCAAATGCCATTGAAAATAATTCAAAATACCACTTTATTACTGGTGCAAGGTCACTAAGGTCATGGCTTTGATTCCCAGGAAACATAGAATTATAAAATATGCATGCATTAATGTAAAGGTTTTGTAAAGAAAATCTCATCCTATTTCATATATATGGAAAACATTTGCACAAATTCCTAGTGAACTAACTATCCACTATAACATTCTGACTTGAAGTGTACACGTGTTGTTCAGTAAGGTATAATATTAAACATGCAATGTGGAGACAGCTGTCAAGGTTACAATTCAGCTACTCCATACATTTCCACTCTTTTGTTTGCATTGCTGAGCCGACAATATTACAGATGTGTGGTTTGTAAAAGAAAAAAGGCCATAGTAATAAACAAATGAATATGCTAGATAGATGCAGCATCTGTCCATTCTGTAATCAATTTGCATTGATGTAGAAAATGAAATTTATGCAAAGACACTTGAAGAGCTGGGGCTCCAGGTGTGAAACAATTGCAATAATGCACAGGAATTACTATGAGCT